AATCAAAGAAGCGGCTCTAATTATGCTAAACGAGGCCAATTGTGTCGCAAATTCTTTGGTAGAATGTAGTAGGATCTGGTTACCAATATTGAAAGAGGAAGTTATTAATAAGAAAATACCAGTATTAGTAAGTCAGTACCATATAGAGGATACATCATTTATGTTTTTTAAATAACGAAACATATAAAATCAGAATTTTGGTGTTTATTGAAGGTAAACTAAATGCACGAACAAATACTTACCATGTCGGGATAGTATTATGAGGTTTTTTTCCTGGTTTTTCCCTCATAATTTACTATGGAATTACTAACAGGAGAATTTTACTGTCATCATGTCATGTGTTTGTCTTTTTAAAGACGAATTACATGATTTTTTTTCTGACGGATATTCTCAAGTTAAAGTTGATTTCATGTAATCGAATGAACTATCTTATAAGTAAAGTCGTCCCAGGAGCGCAACTCAACAATATTGGCAATATCATTTTAAAGTCGTCTACTTTAAAATGCATAATGTATGTCTGAATTGTCAATATAAATGAGTCAGATAAAATTAAATTATTAAAAGAATTTTTCACCATGTAACAAAAAACAAAATTTGTTTAATTTACTGTTTATATTTTGAGAACGATTTCCGAAGTGGAAATTGAAACGTCAATAAACGTATTTTTACCTTTAATTGTGGCTTATTCCCAGTTAAATAGTAAATAATTTAAAATGCCACAAGAAAATAACTTCAGAACAATACAAAATGACGAAATTTGAATGGTTGTTAGAACAGTCGAAAAATTATCAGTATAACACTTCATTCAAAATTTTTCATAACTTTTCTGTTACATAAAATTTTAAATAAAAATTCATTACTATTCAGTATATTAAGTCAGAAAACTTATATGTAATATTCATTTTACGCAAATATCAAAATTCCCATGAATTACAATTCCAGGATAATGAAATACAATATGAAATATGATACTATAGTAGGAAAACGTTGTATATTACTTTTAGTAAATATAAAAGACTTTAATTGTGTATAAAATATTAAGATAGCCAGTTGCAAGGATTCTACGGGGTGTTTAATTAATATATGCAAACTAAATATTCAACTAAACATACATTAGCAACTACACATTGAAGCACCAACAAAAAAAGAAGTTTCAAATGCCATCCAAAAACTTAAAAGTAATAAAGCCCCAGGAATCAACGAAATCTGCCCTAAAATGTATAAGGAAGATGGTAACCATCTGTTGCCAGTAATCCATAAACTGAATAAATTGATATAGTAGAGGATTTGCTAAAAAAAATAATATGCCTGGTGCATAAAGAGGATGAACTTGATTGCAAGAACTATAGAGGCAATACTCTGTTGTATCTGCATATAAAATATTCGCCAACATACTTTTTGAGAGACTTATTTTACAAAAGATACCCACCATCCCTATAAAGGATATTATTGGACTTTACCAATGTGTATTTACTGCCGGAAAGTCAACTATACACCAAATATACGCACATAGGTAAATTTTAGAAAAGTCACTAAAATATTATTTAGAAACAAATCATCATCGTTTTTCTGGTTTTACAACCCTGAGTGGGTCTTAGAATCCTCAAGAATTTCTCTCCAGTCGTTCATATTCATCGCCTTCCTCCGCCAAGCACATTTATCATGTTTATCATGTTTTCCTGCCCATATTTATCATGTTTTCATCGGTGTTATCAAGGAACTTTATCCACCTTAGACGTAATATCTTAACATGTTTTACAATATCTGGTTCGTAATATGTATATTCTATAAAGTTCGAAGTTGTTTTATAAAGTTTTACTTTTGTATTTCTCGATATAGTTGAGGATCTAAGGAGATTGAGCCCGTAATAGCTAGAACACTAGCTACAATAGATAGATAGATTCGTTTATTGACAATTTTTACATAGTAAACACTACAAGTCATGTCACAATATAAATAAGTCACTTATTCGCTCCGTGCGTGACTGACGCGACACCTACCGCCTTCATCTGACAATTTTGGAGTCCCAATTTTCAGGTTAAATATATGACATATGTTTGACATTGTTAAATACATGCGAAATTGACAATTATTAATAAATTAGTTTTTGACTATATTTTTTCAGTTTATGTACAAAATAAATGTAGTATTAAAAACTGGGTTTCTCAAAATTCATCATAATATATCTTTTCAACTCCAAACGGAAAAGAAAGGGAAAAATCTAATACTGGCAAATCAAGTTTTTCACGCAAAAGAGCATATAATTAAAAACAATAATAGTAAAAGTTATGATATAAAAGCTAAAGCCATCTGCAGTTAGCTTGAAGCCTTATGAAATATTATTCAAGGTAAATTATTTAAATTTTTCCTATTTCAATTGCATAAAAATGAAATTATGTCATATTTACTTTTTCATATTAATAGCACGAATTCATCTTTTTCTTTTCTCTAATTTATATGTATTCTTTGGGAACCTATAAAAACTACACTCACTGTTTTTGCTATTATTAGCACAATTAAATACCCAACATGTATTTCCACACATTTTTGATAAAATTTATACGTAAAAATCTTTTGTCCAATATTCCAATTTTGTCATATTTCGCCGCTACGCACGCTGGCATCGTTTCAATGTACCCCTACCATGGTCACGCACGGAGCGAATATATACATATGAAATCGCCAAGGAATAATACAATAATACATACTATAACATATACCTACAGTGAAAAATAGAAATATAAAAATATAAAAAAAAACAATCGGTTACTTAGGTGTAAAATAGTTTTCATAAAAACGACAACAATAGGAGCTCAAACAAACAAATTCCTGTATACTATAGAAACAGTGTGCCAGCAAGAAGTGTTGTGCTAATTTATAAAATTGTTTAGAATTCGTTGCCTTAATATCAATATTTTTGTTCAGGTTTAAAAAACAAGTATACATATTATAATCTAATGTAGTCGGTCAGATAGCCAAGCGGGCTGGGCGGCCGGTTCTCATTTGCTTCACTGCGAGTGGTTCAGTGGATGTGGGTTCGATCTCCAGCTCGGTGTACGGAAAACAAAAAGGCTAACGCAGCAGTTTAAAATTCTAAATCAATCTGTGGCTTAGACTAGAATATGCTGGTGATCTGATCGGCCTATGGTGGAGCAGTAAGGCAAGAGATAAGGGCTTGCGACTCGGTGATACTTCTCGATAGATCGCTACCGGAAGGGAGTGCCGCCTAAATACCGGTGTATATATATAATCTATTGTATTAAATTAAGTTGTACTGATGTTGATCAGCATGTTGCTTTAACATCTTGTATATTATTATGAACAGTTAACAAGCTTTCAAATATATATATATATATATATATATATATATATATATATATATATATATATATATATATATATATATATATATATATATATATATATATTGAAGGAAAAGGAAGACTGCCATACGTTTTAAACAAGGGTTTGCAACTGGCGCGATATTCTGCTGAGTCAATGATTCGGATTGCTGCTTTTTGAAATGTGAAAATTTTATATGCATAAGACGAGCTTCTCCAAAGAATTGCGTAATATGTCAGAATACTATGAACTATTCCAACATAAACAAAATAAACTGACCTAAGAATATGTCGACTCACAGAAGTAGCCAATTGTCCAACGCACTTGATAAATCATTTATATGTATCAAGAATAGCAGATGTCCCAAAACTCATCCTTGTGGTACTCCGGTTGAAACTTATAGAGGATTAGATTCCTAATTATTAAATGCAAAAAATCCGTATTCTTTCTGTAAGTTATGATTTTAAAAGGTCGTAAAATGCCTAGAAAAATTAAACTGACTGTATACAAAACACTAATAAGACCAGTGCTAACATATGGTTCAGAAACTTGGACACTAACACAGAATGACTAAGAATTGCTCAAACGTTTTGAGCTAAAAATACTAAGACGAATATATGGAGACATAAAAGAACAAGGTTTGTGGCACAGGTGTTACAATTTTGAGTTGTATACAAGATTTGGAGAACCTGACGTTGTAAAATTCATTAGGGTAGCACGCCTCAGATGGATAGGTCATATAATCAGACGAGAGGAAGATGCCATAGTCAGAAAAGTTTTTGACCGAAGAGGGCCGCTCTGACAACGAAGAAGAGGAAGACCGAGGTACCAAGACAATATAGAAAATTATTTGAAGTCTATCGGAATTAGAGCATGGAGAAGAGTTGCCAGAGACAGGGGCGAATGGAGGATTGTTCTGAAGAAGGCTTTGACTCATAAAGAGCTGTAACGCCACTGATGATGATGGTATCTCTTATTTCATAGTATTCCAATTTTATCAATTTTGTTTGAATATCCATACAATCAAAAGCTTTTGTAAGGTTACACATTAATCCATTAGTAGGTTCATCTGCATCAAGACCGTGAACAATATGTTTTATTGCTTCTAATAAACTTTTCTATAACCAAATTGAGAGCTGGATATAATTGATTTGTTATTTGTTATACGATCTTTAATTAAGATTTAAAATTTTTTTCTTATTATTGGCACTATGATAATAGGTCTGTAATTATCTGGACCTTTTTTATTTCCTTTTTATGAAGTGGAATTACTTTTGATATTTTGAGTACATCAGGCTAGCAATCCTCGTTAATACATTTGTTATATATTATCAAATATAGATACAAATTAGATACAAGCCGTATCTTTAATTCTAGACTTAGATGTTGACTGCAGAATACTTGGTTTATTTTCTCAAATGTGTTTCGGACCTTTTCAATTCTGATCTTAATTTCTTGAGAATTTTCGACATTTTAATTTGTCGTTAACTGAAAAACGAAAATATAAAACCTTAACTTATTTATTTAAGATTAATCCTACTCATTTAGTGTAAACTAATAAACATGTTAATGATTGAACAGTACCGTATTATTATTGTATATTCACTTTTGGTATCTTCTGAACAATTTGTTAATTCAAAATTTTTTGCTTATTCTAGATCGCAACAATTGTACACTCAAGACAATCGAGAGACGTCTTCGATCCTCGGTGGATGGATTTGTATGAAAAAATAGTACTTGAATCTCAGGCTGATAAAGTCACTCCCTTAGTAGTGAATCCAGGTAGAATTGTACTATCAACTTCCAAACTGTATTTTCAACCTTACAATCAAATGGGAGAGGTATGCATTGTTACTTAAAGTTATATTCGTGAAACAACTCATAAAATTTTTAGATTTATCAATTATTATTAAAGCGTCGACTTCGTTTTTTGAAAAAAATATTTACTTATTCGTCTACATTATTGTTGTCTCCTTCGAAGTAGTCCCCATCAGATATTATGGACGTGTGCCAACGTTTCTGCCAATTATTGAAATATTTCTCAAGGTCGATCTTTGGGATAGCCTTTAGTTCTATCAGCGACAAAGTCGGGCCCTGGCAAACGTATTATATTTTTGCAAAATTTTGAAATGTATTTAATTCAACAATGTAACAATTTTAACCTTTCTTTCAATACAGATTTCAGTCCTTTACAAATAGTTTCTTATGACTTTTGCTGTAAAATAATTAGGGAAGTAATAACACCACCTGGTATAATTTAATCAATGAATTTTTATAAAAAATAATTTACCAAAATATTTTATTTGCAGTATCCTGTAAAAATAAACCTCAGTAGTATTAAGCAAATAGTCAAACGAAGATTTTTGTTAAGACAAATCGTAAGTAGCTCCGCAAATGTTTCCGGAATATATTTCAGCTGTTATTATTTTTAGGGATTAGAAATTTATTGTAGTGATAATTCGCCAAATCCTCACATATATTTTTCGTTTAGAAGCCAAAGTTCGCGCGATGAATTGTACGATAGTTTGCTTAATCAAAAAGAATTGAAATTGGACGAATTGCAACAGGATGTGATCACGCTTCAGTGGCAAAATGGAATCATATCAAATTACGAATATCTACTGTACATTAACAGGTAAATAACTAAATATATATCATATTAATTTTATGTTCATTTAACCATTAAACGCTTAGCTTGATTCGTATAAGATTTAAGATACAGTACGTTAAGTTTTAAATTAGATATACACACGGTAACATGTAGAAAATTCCTTAACTATCGAATATTTAAGTAATAAAACATTTTCTGGTACGCCTTGGGGCCAAGTATAAATATTTTGCTGATTCTCTGTTTATATTGTGATGTAAAGGAAAAATTCCAAATTTCAGTTATAACTGCCACGTTAAATATGGTTATATTTATTCATACGTCTTAGTTCTACAATTTTAAAAGCAAGCCATGATTCAAGGTCAAATGCTCCCTTGAAAACAATTCCGGTTCGCTGTCCCATTGTAAAAACTGGTACGCGGAGTAAGGGAAACGGTAGAAGCCGGGTGTACACTATAGAGATTGGTCGAAGAGAAGTCAGGTTTGAATGATTGGTCATTGAAAACAGACAGGCGACGTGGTAGTTTAAGTGAATCGGCAAATTTGTTGAAAAAAAGTGATTTATACTCAATGTAATGTGTCAGTTCAGCTAAGAGTAATCACTGGTTCTGTTTTATGTCATTTCACCTAAGAAATTTGCGGTGTTTCCAACAAATTTGAAAAATTCCCACATGCTTGAGTTTTTTAAAGAAGCAGATTTTCGAATATTGTATCCAGTGCCAACTTTCAATCTCAATTTGTTTATCTAAAGTCATTCGCAGTGTGACATGCAGTTAGTGGCTTAGCTATCATTTTAATTGTTCTCAGTTTTAAGATTTAGTATTGACATATGACAGTTAGCACTATTTTTGACATCTGGTAAATACTTAATCATATTTGAGATTTGTCGGAGTGATGGAGGTTAACAGGTACTAATGAATTTGCAAGAAATGTAAGATGTTTATTTTATTGGTTATATATAACCAATCAAAGTTTAATAAGTACCTACCTATTTGCAAAATAAAGTTTAACTCTTTAGATAAAATAAAACGTTTTATTTTATCTGAAATGAGTGCATTCCACGAAGTAAGGGTTTCAACAATCAAACATTTAATTCTTTAATTCCAGGAATCTACGACAGTAATTGACTAGATAATTACCTTCTAAACTTATTCCACAGAAAATGTGATAGTGGGTTTTTCCATTTTGTAGGAAGGTCCAAGTGGCGTATTCAAAATTCTTAACAGTTCACTAAAAGTAGGTACTTCAGTTGCAAGGTGCAGTTTATTGTGTATACTAGTGTTATGGAAAATTTAGAAGTGCCGTGTAAACGCCGAAAAATTGGTCCTTTAACAGTTAATGAAAAAACATTAATATTTAATTGTTTTAAATCATTTACAGACAAACGTTTGTGTGAAAGTGTAGATGAGACCGTTGAGTTAGTTAGCAGTACACTTGGTGTTGGGAAATCTACGATTTACAGAGTTATTAAAGAAGAGAAATGTGGTAGTTTTCAAATGCCACGTAATGCTCCAGGGAAACCAAAATTTCAAATAGAATATCATTTTAAAGAAGGACTTCGACGGAAAGTGCATGAATTCTTCTTTAGACAAGAATTTCCAACATTGGATAAAGTTCTTGCCTCAGTTCGAGATGATAAGGATTACCCAGAAGTGAGTCGAAGTACGTTATGGAAACTTTTAAAAGAAATAGGCTTCCGCTGGAAAAAGAATCCCAGAAAGTCTATTTTATTAGAAAGAAGCGATATTGTCATATGGAGAAGACATTTTCTAAGAACCATAAAGGAAATGAGAAAGCAAAAAAGAAAAATATTTTATCTTGATGAAACATGGATTAACGAGGGTCATACACCAAATAAATTTTGGCAGGATGAAACTGTTACAAGTCAAAGGCACGCTTTTGTAAATAATTTATCTACTGGTTTAAACCCACCATCAGGAAAGGGACGCAGGCTGATAATAGTACACATTGGCAGTTCAGACGGTTTTGTAGAAGGTGGTTTATTAACTTTTGAATCAACTCGTACCGGTGACTACCATGAAGACATGAACGCTGATGTCTTTCAAGAATGGTTCGAACAAATGATAGATCTTCTTCCTAAGAACTGTGTAATAGTAATGGATAATGCAAGTTATCACTCCAGACTTATATAAGGACTGCCCACAACCAAGTGGTTAAAAAAAGACTTGCAGAATTGGCTGAGTTCAAAAAATATTACGTACCACCCCGGATCTATAAGAAAGGAACTTTATTCGTTGTGTGCCCTTCATAAAGAAAAATTTAAAAAATACGAAATTGATGAAATTGGCAAAAATCGTGGAATGACAGTACTTAGATCCCCACCATATCATTGTGAATTAAACCCGATTGAACTGGTATGGGCACAGATAAAGAGTGAAGTTTCAAGAAAAAATACCACTTTTAAAATTCATGATGTTAAACACTTGTTTTTGGAGGCCGTAAATAATGTAAAACCTGAAAACTGGAAAAGGCAGTAAATCACACTATTAAAGAAGAGGAAAAAATGTGGAAGCTGGACAATATTACTGATAAAATGATCGAGCCAGTTATTATAAATCTTGGTTCTGAAAGTTCATCTTCTGAATCTGATTTTGATTTGTAACAAGTAGCTGTAAGTTTTATATTAATATTTTTATTCATCTATTTAACATACCTTAGACGGTTTTAAAAACTCTTTTTCACTTTTGTAATTTTTAAAAACCCTTTTTAATGTAGGCCAGTCAGTTCTAATATAGTGTGTGATAAAAGAGGTCACTTTTGTTTACATACACATAACACTATATAACACTGAAATAATTCCTTTATTTTTTACGATTATTCAAAGTAATTTTTCAATTAATCTTGAGCACGCCCATGGAGTGGCAAGAGGTACCAGTTAAAATTATGCTAATTACTCTCTCGTTCATAAAAATAAACTATAAATGATTTTCATTTTCTCGTTTTCTGTCAGGAGTCTAAGGCTAAGGCGTCGGAAGGGATCGAAGATTTATAATTACCTCGTAAGAGGCAATGTTGCCGATTTTAGCTCTTAATGTAGTTTGCAATATCTACTCAAAAACTTAACGCACTGCATAACAATGTCGGTTATTGCATTTTATTGATAGTTTATTAGTAATATATTTATATTTTCATATAAAACTCTACATTTAATTGAAAATTGTTATAATGTACTATTTGCTATGTACAAGTTCGGAAGAACAACACCTAGTGTTATAGATCGTGCTATATTAGTCGTATATAAACTGCAAATAAAACGACTTAAACTTGTTTATTTAATACAATTTTATTAGTGTAATTTATATTAGAAATTTACTGTTCTCGTTGTATTGTGCTTATAATTTCTAAACGGATACTGACTATTTCTTGTTGTATTTTTACAATTTATAACACAGCATTAGCGAAATCTCATTTTCTTCAATGATACTACTTATGAAATGTGCTAAAAAATGCAAGGTTCACGCACACGATCGTTTCTCGTATCCCCTCCAAGTATTGCACACAGCGAATATATGTGTTCTCTTCGCTGTGTTACCAGATCTCCTGTTTTAACAGGGGATCTACTGTTTTTATACTTCTTCTCCTGTTCTCCTGTTTTGAATCTCAAATCTCCTGTTAAAATTTCCATTATAATATGGTATGTTGTTATTGCATTTGATACAATATTTGGTACAATTTGAGATTATTTAGCGTTTCAGATCAGTTTAAATATCAAATTTTGTGAAACCTGAATTTAAATACAACTTGCTTCTTGCTTCACTTCTGTTAGTTACTGCTATCTCCATCTGTGTAGAAAAAGCGCAATCAACACCCAATGGTTGAGTTAAGTCTGTTGGTTAAAACTGCAGGGTCGGCTTAAGGGTGACTGGAACAGTGATGTTAAGTCAAACTTCAGCAGTAAATAGGGTACGAGAGAATGGCTCATTTGGTTGAGGCGCAGAATTTTATTTCTTATGGGAAAATACGCTAAGGTGTATTCTGTTCTGCTCTTTTGATATTTTTCAACGTCATAACTGAACAGCCTATAGAATCGTGATGTATGGGATCCCGTTGGATAGGGAATGGCTAAAGAACTAAATAATCAAGAGTTAAAAGCAGGAGAGTGTACTAAAGGGGTCTTTTCAGCTCTGATTTTTTTCGTTTAAAAGAATTATTTTGCATATAATATTTTTTTTAACTTTTACAACATTTCTTCTGTGTAATTTAAGTTAAATATTAATACAAATGAAGAAAGTCTTCTTCTATTAATTCGAAGTTAATCTAAAGTGGGAATTACCAACACACAAACACACAAAAAGTGAAATAAATGAAAATTTAAATTAAAGAATAATAAATAAACAGAATATTAGTTGATAAAAAAATTGTGTGCCAACTATTTTTATAAGAAAAATAGTTAAAGAATTATTTGTAGACAAATAACAAATATGTGGCATTTATAACATTACAACAGCAATGTTAACTGGACACTGTCGACTTAGAAAGCACTTATACAGCATTGGTAAACTGGACAAAGAAACTGCCATACAAATCATTTGTAAATCTGACTATTCGTAGGGAGTTCCACAGTCATCTTACGACCAATTATGAGAGACTGTCATATCTTGCCTCAGATCAAGGTGACGTTTCTCCTCTGCTATTTATCGATAACTTAATTGACTAGCTTAAATATTAATTATTTTTCAGTTTAGGAGATAGGACTTTTAACGACCTAACGCAATATCCAGTCTTCCCGTGGATTGTATCGAACTACTCAGACGAAAAACTGGACTTGAGCGATCCCAGTAATTACCGTGACCTGTCGAAACCTGTGGGTGCCTTAAACGAAGTCCGTCTTAACCGATTACTAGAGAGGTATCAAGAAATGACCAGCAACAAATTTTTGTACGGGTCCCATTATTCCACACCGGGATTTGTGCTTTACTATCTAGCGAGGTTATATCCCCACTACGTTTTATGTTTACAAAGTGGTCGGTTCGATCATCCGGATCGTATGTTTAACTCGGTGGCTGACGCTTACAAGAATTGTTTGAATAATATGTCGGATTTTAAGGAACTGATACCACAATTTTATGATATCAACGACCAAGGGAAATTTTTAGGTAAGTGAAAGGAACCATTATTCATATAAATATTTTCTTTAAGTATAAGTTTTTTCAGAAAGTTTCTAGTATCTTTTATTATATTTTTAGTTTTGGCAAGAAGATAGTTGTATTCTTTTACTTTATCTTTCCATCGACCCTCTCCTTCTCACCATTTCCCTTCCTTTGTCTTTATTTGGGATTCGCCCTTACACTGCCCTTTTCAAAATAGATATAAAAAATATTTTCTGTTTTATTTGTACAATTCTTGCATGCTTTTCACATTCGGTACATAGCCTGAGCAGAATAGATTGAAAATACCGTGGTCAATACCCCTCAGCGATAGTTGCAAGGATTGTAATCAGCTAAATGTGAAATCGTGTGAAATTAAATTGTTATTTCAGTGGAATTTGGATTAAAAACCAATTTTTGGTTTCTACTTACTTTTGCATAAACTATTATAAATTGATTTACGTGTAAATGAAAATGGCAGTTCAAATTGTAATTACATAGAGAAAACCACCAATATCGTTGCAGCTTTGGATGTATATAAAAGCGCAGAAAGGAAAGTTTGGTGGTCGAAGTATCGACCAAAATAAACGCATCTACAAATGTTTAGTCTGTCTTATTATCACCATCAATTAGCCTATATTTGTCCACTGCTGAATGTAGGCTTCCTTATAATAATGTTGGATAATCATATGTTTATTAGATTGCTTCCATCAGGAGTTCCATATAGTGGAACTCTATGGGTAGGAACACCCTGCATGCGGTTGATTAATTCGAACTCACTGGATACTCATCATTACTTTATTGGTTCTCTAAGTACAATAATAGAGTACCCAGTTGACGGATGACAACACTAGCTTCGTAATTTGTCCTATAATTTAACACTCTTCCTTGTGTGTTATTTTCTGTCGCGTCGATCGATACAAATTTGGACATTACTTCGTGCGTGGATGTGAAGTTACATGCTTCCAATATTAATATAGATTCTTCTGTGTTGACGTTGCGTTTCATTGTTGCAAAAGTTTTCATTGTATATTTTTTCGCTAGGTCCAATCGCATTCCTTCCGCTATGTATGCAACTTTTAGCTGTTCTACTAATTCTTCAACTTCAGATGCATGGACCGCTGCATCTTTGTCCTTGCTTTTTCTTCGCCAATTTATCTATTACCGTCTTCGGACTGTCGCCTCTCAGTTCTCTCTTCAGTGCCGCTGCTATTCTTGGTATTGTATCCTCTGTAGTTATAAGGTTTGTGGCCTTATTGGTTAATCTTGTCTTTATTAATGTTATCGCTGTTTCCTCGTGTCCTATCGCTATTTTCTCAGGAGTTCTAATGCATTTAAAGATGACTGCAGTTTACCTGCGCTTCCATCAAACTTGCTGGGCAACACCTTGCTTGCGATATTTAAAAATTCGTTGATTGTAAGAGCCATACTTATTTCTTGCTCTGTGTCGCTTGTGTCGTCTTCTAGATCCTTGTCACTCTGTTCCTCTTCTATTTTCTTATTGATTACCTGATGTATTATACTAGGAACTACCACTTTTGTATTAAATGCTTGAAACGAGCCCAAAACTCTATCCCTGATTCTACCAAAATATTTGTTACACGTCTCTCTTTGATTGTCCGTTAATGTCTCCCAATTTTTCCTTATTAAATTTATGAATTCTTTGTATATTTCGACTAATTGTGTCGTCACCTCATCTTTAACTTCTTTAGTTTTAAGTAAGTATTTCTTCACGACCCTTTTGCTTTACTTCAATACTTCTTGTGTAATTTCATCAATTATTTTGACGAAATCCTCCCAACAAACCTTGTTGCTTCTCATTTATTCATGAGAATTTCTATTTGCGTTATTCTTGTACTTCGGTAAACAAGTGGAGTTTCTTCCAGTATATCAATGTATTCGCCAGAAATTCCGTTGAAGCAGACGGAATCTCTGAATTGAATCAACAATTTAGTATGTAATGATAATTTTTTTTGTAAGGGCATTTTTCAATGTTTGATTTTCCGTTGGTCCAACTCATCTTTTAATCACCCATTATTTTTCTTGCCCTTTTTGTCTGACACATTCCTTTTCGCTTGCCTACCACTTTATGCTATTCTTATTCTCTCGTCTAACTCAGATCCCCACTTTCACTCTGCGCATTCACTCTTCTCTCTTCTTTTCTCGTCCGTTTTATTCCTTTATCTCGGTCGTCCTATATTTGTCGCTTACTCACCCTTATCTCCGTCGTATATAGCTTATAGTCACTTCCCTACCCTCTTTATTTTTTCACCTTTCCACATCCCTGTTTTCTTCGTATGTTAAACTAAAATGGCCAGTTATTTTAGTTCTTTTCAAATATAACAATCTTAAAATCTTGTCTTGTTGTCGCAAGCTGTTATTTATTATTATCTAAAATTAACAACGGATATATCGTTCTTATTTGAACTCACATCAATATTTTTTTCAGTAAATAACATGGGAATTAACTTTGGATATAGATATAACAATCTAAAAGTAGACAACGTTGAATTACCGCCTTGGGCGAATAGCCCCAAAGACTTTATTAACAAGCTAAGAGATGCGTTGGAGAGCGAAATCGTTTCAGAAAATTTGCATAAGTGGATCGATTTGATCTTCGGGTATAAGCAAAAAGGGGACCGTGCTCTACAGGCCAACAACTGTAAGTATACTTCGTTTTTGTTTTTGCTCAAAACTTTTGTTTTCGTTTATAGCAATTTGTACACACTTTTATATTTATTTACAAAATTATTATCAAGGCTTTCGCGGTCGGTATTTTTAAATCGGTTTACAGAGCAGTGAGCTGGAATTTGTGTTTCTCTGTGTGAGTCCGTCACGACGATTCCTCAGAATCGTCGTTAGAGATAGTTCAATCACTTCTGACTACGGCGCAGTAGACTAAATTTGGTTTAGTCCCCACTTCCATGCGAAACGCATTATACTATGCACTGTATAATTCCACTTACAATAGAACCTTTCTGCCTTTACGTGAATTTGACTCCGCCTTAGCGCAGCTCCATGGTCAGGAGTGTTTGAACTATCTTTACCATTGTCTTCTTTCTCAGGTGGGTGTTTCATTGTTATGGAAGTTGTGCACTTTTACTGCATTGATGTTGGCACTTGTGTGTGTTTTAGACTGATTATCATTTATTGTCTGATGGTTTGATGTCCATAGAAGATAAGAACTCCTGAGAACAGAGGATATATTTTTGGTAAATGTTTGTTTTCAGATTGTGGTTTTTATATATGACTTTATGGAATTGTTTTTGTCTTAAATACGTTGAAGGCAGCCGTTCCTGCTATTTCCCTATGGGCAGATAATTGTGCAATATAAAACCACAGACAATCGTACAAAGATCGAAGTTTTTATCTAATGACGGTAAAATAGTGTATCAATATCCAGTATATCAATGTATTCGCCGTAGATTCCTTTAACAGAAATCAGCAATTTAGTGGGTAAATATTGCAGTTTTTTCGGTAAGAGATTTGGATTTTGAAGAATATGTTTGCTATAGGGTCATTTTACATTGACTCATTTATTGCGGGGGAAAGGAAGAAGCCACCCTGTGCCTGTGGGTGTTTTGGAGTCGACGTATGTCAAAACATCAGCTGGCAAAAGAAGTTGGTGGTTTGTAACACCAGATCACGACGATGAGAGAATAGGTTTATGCGTACTAGGTACTGATACGTCTCTCAGTTAAGACGGGTTGGGTTTCTTGCAGGGTTTTGAGTCTCTTATCTGAGTGGATACTTGACTGAATAAGCCATATGCTCTCTATGATCTTCCTCAAGTATCAGTACTTTTCTATTACGTAGTGTTCAGAGCAACATTTTGTTTAGATACAGTCAGCTACAGGAAAACGGTAAAGTTCTGGAGTGAACAATGGCTTTCTTTGGTCGATCTTACACTTTCTTTGGTTCTCATTTCTTTTTTTTTTTTTCGAAATTATGGTCGACTCTTTTTTTATGTATAGACCGCTTTATACCTCTTAGAATATAACCGACCTGTCTTTACGCGTTTGCTCGATGGTTTATTTCCTCTTGCTCCGTAATAAAATTATTGTTAACAGTTTGAGTAATACCTGGATACAATTCCAAAAGGTTATAGGTCTAGGACTACGTATTTAAAGTAAGTTTTTTGGAAGTATCGTCTAGGGGAAATAGTTCTGGAACATGACTACAATTACTAATAATTTGCTGCTATTAAGTGAAATGTTTTCGAATTGGAAATTCAAAGTTCTAGCCCTATTTGAAGAAGAGAAGTAAAAGGCATTGTAGAAACTGTAACTTTTTTTATAGGTAGGATTGTTATTGTATTTTGTGATTAAATAAACGTCCAAAAAGTAATATTTCGATTCATTTCTAAAAGTATTAAACATAATTATGTACATTTTAGTATTCTACCATCTCTGCTACGAAGGCGCAATCGATTTGGACGCCATTTCGGATCTAAACGAAAGACACGCTCTAGAAGTTCAAATAATGGAGTTTGGGCAAATTCCAAAACAAGTATTTCAAGTTCCACATCCACAGAGAAAGACCGGCCTCACTCTTCTGACAGAACCACTTCAACTTAAACCTATCGAACTAAGCTTTGAAGGTATAGTTCCACTTTTTTAAAACTAATATTGTTACTAGTGGCCATTCGGCTTTTATCAAACAAATTTATTATTAAACAAACGGATTTCAAAACAAATTTGCTCATTTATAAAATTTGTTTTAAACATTTAACTTATACCCAATCTATGATACTATAACAAACAAGATATGCTCAGTTGCCAATCTAATTTTAATCGACTTTGTGCATGTCGTCATAGCCAGACAAAGCCAGGGAACGTGTGTTCGTTGTTTCATTACTGTAATGAACAATTTCGAAACTTAAACTCTTAACGGTAAGTATACCTCGATGCCATATTTTGCACTAAGAAGTCATAACTAGTTACTCTCTCAAGTTTCTTCTACTGTTTTTTTGCAATCTCATCTGACTCATTTGATATGTCAGGTTGTAGTTCATGATTTCTCTGTAATAAAAGTTAAATATATAAAGAATACATTTTACTACCACATTCGTAGTAAACCATTATTTTGGTTTACTATTACTTCAAATTAAGAGTTCTATTAAAATGGCCATTAGTATCTATAGAAACATTTGCTCTGCTGCTAAAGTGTGTATAAAACCAACATACTTGCATGTTTTTTAATACATTTCTTTTCTCCATTCTTCTTTTGCGTCTATTGAGGGATGTTTTGGCGCTTGGGTATTTTATTAAATGAAGAGAAGGTATGGCATCATTTCTTAACTTCCACTTTTTGTCATTTAATCCCGATAGCTTTTCTTTTAAACAATACTCAGCTTCTGTAAAATGTTTTGAGCATATTCTCGCGGTTTCTACATTAAATTTGTCTCGCTGAAGACCCCTGATTACGCATTTGTTTGTCTCTAGGAAACACACAAAAACGACACTTCGAAAAAGTGTTACTTTTTTATTATTATTGTTTAAACAACCCACCACTGCACAATACATTATGGCAAACAAATAATTAGTCTTCTTTATAAAATAGCTACAGACAGGATCTCGAGATGAATTTGTGTACGATAAAGAAATTAGGTGATATTAACACAGTAAACTGAATGATTCCACGACAAAATTTATATAACAATATAATATACAAAGTCTTTACTACATCAATGAATAAATAAAAATCTCATTCACTACGTTTTGAAGCACACAGGATAGCAAACTCGATTAACACAGCGACATAATTAACATGAACACAGATAGAGCATTTAATTTTTCGTCATTAAAGTTGTCTCGGGCTTACGTCACAGGTGTACGAGAGAGATGCAAGAACATACGCGTTGACTTATCTTGTTTGTTATAGTATCATGTAGCCAACCTAACTGTAAGAATTTTTTGCTTCTAAGCCAGTTTTTTTGTAATAATCATTGATTTCAGATACATGGAAACAAGCTAGTGAATTAGAACTAATAACTAGCTTTAACTCTCACAAAAATGCAGTTAGCCACCTGTTCATAAACGAGGATGGAGAACGTATAACTTCTGTTGGACACGATTCAAAGCTTAAGGTATTTTCCGTCTCCCAAAACAAACAAATCAGAAGTGCCAACATCGGAAATATGCCTTTAAGCAGTTGTATCCAATTGCCCAATACAAGCGTACTTATTATAGCTAGTTGGGATAATGAAATGTAAGTAAAATTGTCGTTTTCTTAATATAAAAAGTATTTTTTTGAAAAAAATTAGTGTTTTAGTAACATTGTAAAAATAAAAATACATTTTTAGATCCTTATATGATCTAGACTATGGTCGAGTTGTCGACAATGTCCTAGCTCATGAAGACGCAATAACTTGCCTGGAGTATGGTAAAATCTCGAATGTTATAGTTTCTGGTAGCGGAGATTGCACGGTCAAGCTATGGAAAGGACTAAGCAGTAATGGATCAGTAACGTCCATACAATGCCAGAAACACATCGACCATAATTCGGCAGTTAGCTGCTTAAGTTTTAACAAGTTAGTACCTACATTTAAGTATATACAGTGCGTTAAGTTTTGGATTAGGTATACACTCTATAAATGGCAACACTGCGCGTCTTCGACTTGCACTACATATCTGCTTCGTTGACTCGTCGTTGCACGTCGCCGGTCGGCAAATTTGTCATATTGTCATTATACCATGGTTGTTTAAAGGTATAACAGCGTAGAGTTTTAATTTATTTTTGTAAACATGTCTGTTTATATGGCCGCGGAAAAAGCTCAAATAATAAAATGGTTTTATAGTGGCAATTCTGCGCAACAGTGTGTAGATTTATTTTCTGTGTTTTTTGAGGGAAGACCAATTCCTTGTGTACAGTCAATTTTTAATATTGTTAAAAATTTTGAGAGTTGTTATTGCCTCAAAAATTGCAGAAAATGTCACGCTCGAGAAGTGTTACCAGAAAAAGTTGAGGAAAGAGAATACCGGGATACACAAATTTGTGCAACAATCGAGGTAGATTCAACACGTTCAAGTAGAAGCGTTGCTAGAGAGTTAGATGTTAGCAATGTTACTGTAACGAAAGTATGGAAAAAGCACGGTTACAAGAATTTTAAATATTCGAAAACGCAGCAGCTTTATCCAGACGATTACTTTCGAAGAATGGAGTTTTGTGAAACAAATTTTTATTAAAAACATTTTATTCACTGATGAATTTTCTGTTTCGTTAGTAGGTAGACACAATCCTTCCATTACGAGGTATTGGGCGCGGGAAAACCAGCACAGAAGTGTTGTTTACCGAACTCAACGTCCTCAAAAAGTTAACGTCTGGACTGGCATTTTAGGAGACCACATAATAGGTCCATTTTTTATTGAGGGCAACTTGAATAGTAGAGTATACCTCGATTTGTTACAGAATCATGTTCTTCCTGCTATTCTCAATCTTCCTGATGTAAATCTGGAGAATGTTTGGTTTCATCAAGACGGCTGTTCAGTTCACAACGCTCGAATTATTAGGGAGTATTTAAACAATACTTTCCCGAATCGATTTATCAGTGGAACAGGCGATATTAAGTGGCCTGCGCGATCTCCAGATCTTACACCCATGGACTTCTTTTTTTGGGGACATTTAAAAAGCATTATCTACGCTTATCCTGAGGCTAGAGCCCAAAATTTGGGTGAATTAAAAAATCGAATAAGAGAAGTCTCCAATTCTGTTACAGCAGAAACTATTTCATCTGTTCGCAGAAGTTTTTATGACAGATTGGGGTACTGTTCAGCCTTAGAAGGTCAACTATTTGAACCATTTCTGTAGGTCATAAAGAATTATTTTTTATTTTATTAGGAATAATATTTTAATTTTCAATAAGAGTATATTTTTTATTTTATCTTTTTAAAGAAATACGCTTTTATTTTTAATTCAACCACAAAAAAATTTTCACATTAATAAAAATCGATAACAATGCACCGATTAGTTCAGTGCATTTTTATCGAATTTACTACTATTAAAATCGGCTTTACGTAATGAAACATGAGATCGGACGACAGAGAAGTACATCCCTAACGTTGTTGTGAGTTACTCAACTAAAATAAATGATTTTCTGTCGGTGTAGATTTCCGGGTCGGAGAACGAACATTTGCAACGTTGCCGATTTTAGCGCTCCGTATAGTGTGCAATACCTAATCAAAAACTTAACGCACTGTATCTTACCCTATAACAAATATTGTAATAATTCTGGAAGGAAATGTTATATTTTCAATGTTCAGTTGTTAACGGAGAATAAAATAACACATCTTCACTGGACGACGTCTACGTTTATTCTTATTTGTAAATAGATATACAGTCGATTATTGATTACCCTGTACATTTTAAAAATATCATCTTTGTATCTGAAACTTCATAGTTCTTCTTAGATTATCGATTCAAGAGTGTCTTTAGACATCGTGAACATATTCCTGAGAGTTCACATATTGTTTTGTGCAGTTTCCTAACACTCTTTGTGACTAAAGCCTTTCGTGAGTCTTTACTTTGTACCAATCTTTTTTCTCACTTTAATATTTTTCACACTTATTTTTTCCACTATTTTGGTTTTCTTGAATTTATTTTTTGATATATTTTTACGTTCACTATGGTAAAGCATCTAAAACTATTTCATTTTTATTGGTTTCATCGATTTACATTGTGTATCTTTGTGTAAAAAAATTGTTACGATTTGAAATATCTTAAACCTATGTAATATTTTAGTGATAACGATCATTTGGCCGTTGGCACTGAAGATGGTGACATATACATATGGGAAATGACCAATTTTACATTATTTAAAAAATACAATCCCCAATCGTCAAGTATTACTACACTTAGCTATAGTCCAGACGGAATGAAGTTAGCATTAGGCACAAAAGACAAGTTGTTTCAAATAGTCGATGTAAATACAGGTCTGCCAGTGTTCAGTAAAAATATGAGTAATGCAGTGACATCGTTGAAATATAGCGAATACTTACTGGTAATTGGTTGTGAGGACGGAACCTTGTCGTTGTGGGACATCTTTGAAGTAAAACTTCTATTAGAAGTGATTGCACACTCAGGTGAGTTAATTCTTAAGACTTTTTCGGTTTCATGACCCGGATCAATAAATAAGCGTTATCGAGGCGCGAGTCCTTATCTTTCACCGTGTAACTTAACATATATAGCTGCAACGCTCAAGGTCACTTCATTGATAAAGGGAGGAGCCAATGCAATCGCCCGAAGCGTAAACATCCATACACTTAGTATTGAACATAAATTTTAGTGCGTTTGCTACGTTGTCAGATAACTTCGTAATTCGTGAAATAGTTATTGTTTGTTGAATTTTCATATTAAAAACTAAGAGGTGAAATATTTTTTTATTAAAATGAATCGCGTAAGTGACGTAAAAAATCGGATTCTGAGTGCACAAGCTAGTGAAATTATATACTTTGTAACGATGAGTCCAAGCCATCACCGTTAAACCAGCGTGCGCGCGAACCAACCCATGAAGTAGGAGTGTATCGACAGTAGAAAGGGCAAAACTAATTACCAAGCTCCGCTATATAAACCGCAACATTTCCTCATAAAGACAGAATCGACAGGTGTTGACTGAAGGTTCTCTTCTTCCCTACCCCGGCTTGTGGACGTGTTGAGTTCACAAGTTGTTCCGTCCCATACCGCCGTTACCCGAAGAGCGTGTTGAGCTCTTCACTACCCGTACTCTGAAGCAGTCGTGTTGAGACTGTCGAGGAGTGTCCTGTTAACCCGAATCACTTAAGGGACGTGTTGAGTTCCTTTTCTTTCTTTGTACCTATCGTCCGCTGTTATTAAATCGATACAACGTTCCCGTAAAATTTCAAATACACACTCGCTTGCCGATAAGACTAATTTCATATGACAAGGTCAAACTTAATTTGAATAAATAGGCCAGGTACTGAGAAGACTAAACCAAATTGTAAATATGTACATAAGATTTTTGTCAATTTAATTTAAGGAAGACAATACAGTTTTATTTTTGTTTTGAACTCTGTCTCTGACTGTCTAAAAGCTACCCGGATAGTGACTCCTACGAGAGGACATCACAACTTGGTTTTAAAATTTAGTGAATTTTCATTTTCATCTCAGTTGAAGTTTTTTTATCTATCGAAAGTGATAAGATAAAATCTATTTTTATAAGCTTATTTCCACAACTGTTGGATACAATTTATTTTAACTAAATATCGCAATTCTCAGTATGAAACAAAGTTAGCTTTCTAATTTCCATTTATTCAGTTCATTTTAATGATTATGACTAATAACTTCAGCAAATAACATATTTTATCAACTACCTCAAACATTTTAACTTTGATATTAGTGCTCTGATAATAAATATAATTATAAACTCATTAGAGTAATTATGGAGTATTAGTATTAGAGTTCAATACCTCTAAAATAATATTCGATTAGGCAACACCGCATCAACCAACGTCTGTCGTGTCAAATCGTCACCGTTGCAGTTAAATCTGTTTAGCTGTACTACTCATCCATCATTCGACTCTATTTTCTTACGAATTGATATTTAAAATTGTAGGTGTATTTTGCGGCAATTTGAACTACTGTACAAACAAAATGATAACGATGGGTTAATTTGTATGACTTTTTCGGTTTTATGACAGGGATCAATGAGTAAGTAAGTAATAAAAATTGGTGCAAGTCTATAATATACCCAATACATAAGAAGGGAGACTTGTTAAGTTGTGATTCCTATAGAGGAATAGACGTCACATACAAAGTACTGGCAACCATACTAAAAAGAAAAATAGAAGTGTACTTAGAAAATATATTGGGCGACTATCAAGCAGGTTTTAGAAAAAATCGATCAACTAGTGACCATGTATTGCTGCATTTATGCTGAAACAAGTTCTCTCTGGTGTATATAAATACAACATGCTGATCCACCTTCGGTTTCTGGATTTTAAGGCTGTTTATGACAATGTAGGTAGATCAAAACTGATGAAGGAACTACAGGAGTTCAAAATCGCATCCAAGATAATCAGACTGGTACATATGACGCTTCAGAATACGACAAGCGCAGTTAAGATTAATCGAAATAAGAGCCAAGACTTTAGAGTTCAGAAACGTGTAGAGTAGAGTAGAGTATTTATTTAACTACATAACATATACAAATATTGTTTGTAGCAAGTCAAAAAAAACATACATAGTATTAAATGATAAAACATTAAATAATACAAACATGAAAACATATTAAACAGATAAATAATACAAACATAAAAACATATTAAACAGAAAAATATTTATGGCAAAGTTACGGTAAGCAGTTCAGTGGATGTTCTGCAATGAGTCATATATTCTTCTGAGTAGTAAAAACAATGTTTTAAAAGATATTTTTTTATAACTTTATCGAAACTATTACAGCTTAGCTCTGTTATACTTTTTGGTAAAATATTGTAATAGTTATAATTAAGACTATTTTTTTTCTGAAAGACAATCTATAGCGATTTGTTCGTAGGTAGTGACAGTTTCGCGTATTGTGAACATGGACATCAGACTGCTTTATTAAATGGGCACGTTTTCTGTGAATTTGAGTTAAAACTTGAAATATCAACAGAGTAGGTAGCGGCATAATTTTGAATTTGATAAAGAAAGGTCGGCAGTGTTCTAGATAACTAACCCCTGCTAAAATCCTGACAGCTTTCTTTTGTATTCTAAAAATTTGAAGTGCATTTGTTGAATTGCCCCATATAATTAAACCATAGTTTAGGTGAGAGTGGAATAAAGAAAAATATGTCATTTTTAATGTTTCAAAGTTGACAACCCTTGCTAGTTGGCGAATAACAAATAATGAACTGGATAGCTGTTTCTTAAGGTGTGAGATATGAGCAGACCAGTTGAGTCGATTATCTATGGTTATTCCCAATAGTTTAACAGTCTCTTTGTTAACTAGATCATTGTGTAAATTACTTGCAGATATAACCATATTTTGCGTTTTATCAGAATTAAGTTTTAGTTTGTTTGCAGCAAACCATGAGCTAGATTTAGTAGTAACTTCCTCATGAGACATTTTTAAATCATCATTATTTTTTCCTGATATAACGTATGTCGTATCATCTGCGAATTGTATGATTTTGTACGGAGATATGAATTTAGGCAGATCGTTGACATAAATAATAAACAAAAGAGGTCCTAAGACCGAACCTTGTGGGACTCCATGTTTTACGGATAGAAAATCAGAGAGATGACCTTTAGACACTACCGCCTGGTGTCTGCCACATAGATAAGAAGTTATAAGCTTAAGAGGGATACCTCTGATTCCATAGTAATTTAATTTGTGGAGCAAAATGTCGTGTGAAACGCAGTCAAAAGCCTTTGATAAGTCACAAAGAGAAATTGCTATGCGATTGCCGCGTTCAAGCCCCTCAATCACCTCGCTCACAACATTAAATACCGCGTTCGTAGTAGAACGAGCACTTCTAAATCCATATTGTGAGTTGCTAAAGTAATTATTTGACTCAAAATAGGAATAAAATTGTTGTTTGATAACCTTTTCAATCACTTTCCCAAAAGTAGAAACAATGCTTATGGGTAATTGTCAATTTTTGAGGAATCACCTTTTTTGTAGATTGGTAGTACTTTTGAGTATTTTAGTACTTCTGGAAATACTCCGGTGGATAGAATTAAATTAATAAGATGAGTAAAAGGTGTTAAAACTATTTGGTAAGTTTCTTTTAAAATGTTGCTATTAATCTCGTGAACGTCCCTACAATTAGAATTACTAAGCGAGAATACTATTATTTGAGAGACCTCTTCTTCCAGAACGGGCCGAAAAAAAAATGACTTGCTCGGAGAAGGATAATTTCTATAATTGACGAGGACATCGATGTTAAAGGTGGGAAGAGATGTAATTATATTCTCTGCAATTGTACTAAAAAATTGATTCATTTCGTCTGGAGGTAGATCAGGTTGTACCGAACTGGATTTAGTGTAGTTTCTTTCGAAATTTACTATTTTCCAGCAGTCTTTAGGTTTATTATTGGAATTAGTAATAAAATTACAGTAAGCTGACTTTTTAGCAATTTTTAATTGCTGATTATATTCAACTTTTTGTTGTTTATATACTTTGAACAAATCGGGATCCTTAGTGGCCTCTGCAATGTGTTTGATAAGAGAAATATTAGATCTGTTAGACCTTAATTCATTATTAAACCATTGCACAGGTGCTTTTTCAGTCATTTGTCGTACTTTTTTTAGTGGAAAATACTGTAATATTAAATTGTTGTGTAAGAGAAGGGGATCCTATATCCACCACGCTGTTTAATTTGGTCCTTGAAAAGATTATAAGAGACAACAATATGATTAGAGCGGGAACAATATTTAATAAGAGTCACCAGTGTCTAGCGTATGCTGATGATGTTGTACTTTTGCCTAGGAGTAGAAAATAATTAGAATAAATAGCTAAGAATCTTTTAGAGCCGCAGGAAATATGCGGATAAATATAAATAAAATACATGGAGCTGAAGAATAAGCAAAAGAAAAGCAGAAAACTAAATATGGAAATTGCATTAGTGAGAGAAATTCTGGAACTTGAAGAGGTGAAGGATTACATGTAGATCATGAAATAGATCTACGAATAGCAAAACTAAACAGGTGTGCAGGCAGTTTGCAAAGATGTATCGAGAAATACAAAAATAAGGCTATAGAAAACTATCCTGCGACCTACTTTAACGTATGGTTTCGAAACAAGGGGTTAAGAAAGAAACTACAGCAGAAAATTGAAATATAGGAACGAAGAATATTTAGAAGAATTTTTGGAGGAAAGTTGACAGAAATCAATGGGAGAGAAGAACAAATGCTGAAATTTATGAAACGTTCAGCGAAGGGAGAATAAGCGATTTTGTCAAAGCTAGAATATTGCAGTAGCTAGGTCATCTCTTTAGAATGGAAGACAGTAGAGAGGTAAAGAACATAGCATGGAGAACACCCGAAGATAAGAGGAAAAGAGGCAGACCGAGAAGATGAAGGGAAGCAGTTGCGGAAGATCTACAAGAAAAGAAGACAGAAAATTGGAGGAAAGAAGCTAGAGACATAAGGAGATGGAAAAGAATTACTAAGCTATGGGCCTGAAACGACCTGCTACAAGCTTTTATATAATTTATTCGACAGTTTGAATTGAAAACTTTCCATTTGTAAATACTAATCTATAAACCACTACAAATTTCTAAATTAAACCTTTAACCTTTTTTATGTTGGTTTAATGGATGCAGTTTCTTTTTGTTTACTCTTTAAGTTACAATTAATATTGACTATGAGTTAAAATTTGACCGACATCGTAAACGATTAAATTATTTATTTTAAATGTCGCTTTTATCTATTTTGATCTCTTTTTCTTTTAGGTTCTATCAGAACACTAGACATTTCATCATCACGGGACTTCATAGCGACTGGTAGTCAGGATCGCTCTATAAAAGTATGGAAACCAAAAGTAACGTCATAGCATCACTTGTTTTATCCTAATAAGATCAAAACTAAGTATTCCCAGAATACATTTTCCAAGTCTATAGTTTATTGTGATATTTTTATTATAACTGTTTTATATATTTAAAAAGATTTAATAAACATTTTTAATGTATTTAAAAAATTGTGTTTTTCTCTTCACAACCCTCACAATATTTTATTTAAAAGTGTTTTTAATCAAATAAATTGCTAAAAAGAAAACTAAAATCTAGGTATGTTTATTATAGGTCTGATTCTGTCAGATTTTGAAATGGTTGTAGGAACCTTTCAGTAGGTTGGCTCTGCTATTTGCTTATGAATGTTTACTTAAAAAAATCAGGCTTTAAGCCAATGACTATATTATACGTCATTGCTTTAGGCCAGCACATGATAGCATAAAATTTGCACTCGCAATAGCAGTCAGCAGTACCCGCCCCTAATCGTTAATGTTAATAACAAGAGACAGAGTATAGCATTGTGAACGAGAGATGGCAGTTGTAGATGAAAGATGACGCTTGACACAATAATTGATCCCGTCAACTGTCGTCCCTAGAAATACTTGTGATAAATAAGAAGTGGAAATAACAGTTTTGCATGAGATCTGTGAACGAAAAATATTGTGTTTTTTTTTTTTCGCCAAACGCCCAAAAAGTTGACTGTTGTGTGCTTTTGAGCACATACTGATAAGTTCCGTCATAATGTAAACGAATTTTGTACGTCTTCCGTTGATTTTTTTATCATTTCCTCAACATCCATCAACATGAGCTTTTTTGCGTTTCCGTCAAATTACGCTGAAACATTTTGGCATAGTTTTTTCAAAAGTTTTTAAAAAGTAGTACATTTGAAATCAGGTAGATTGGGGTCGTCGTTGACCTGTTGTAGAACTCTATCTATCGTGGGAATTTCATTTCTAAAAAAGAATTGATGCACTATTCTTCTTATCGCTACCTTGTCAAAATCATCTACAGATTCGAGTTTGCCTTTACGAGTGGTACATTTTTTTGGTGCAACTAATGTGTGTAGTTTTATATTCTCTAATAACTTTAAACACAGAACTATCCGATACTCCAACTTTATCGGCTACTCTTTTCTCAACAGCGGACAATGATAACGCCGGATTTTCTTGTAACTCTGGATTACCCTGGATGTAAGCGGAAAACTTCTTATTGGCGATATCTATATTATTGTATTTTAACAAAACAAACTCTTTGCTGTGCCTGAGGATGAGGCAAATATTTTAAACTTCGAAACGGATCGCTTCTGTAAAACTTTCAAAGTAAATATTAGATTGTGAGTATTGACCTTTTTAATATATGTGTTTAATTATGGACTCACACTTGCAAACCTTTTATCATCATAATAATTATTATAATAGAGTCAAAATAATATTAAATTTACTTACTCAAGTTGAGAGAAAACAGCAAACACCTTAAAAATGTTCACAGTTCTAAGTTTATTTAAATAACACTATAATTATAAATCAACACTATAATGTTACCAACACACATACATATAGAGCTATTAAAAGTAAAAATTATATTTATATAATTAAATTCAACAGACATAAATAAGATTCGTAAGGATTATTGAATCCATATCTGTTAAAAAACTGCAAATTATGCGTCTTTGTTTAGAGGTGGAGATTGTCGTTACTTGTGAGTTTCTACTTGTTACTTATGATACGCTTTTATATATAATCAGTTACAGTATAAGTGATTTTGTAACAAGTATATACCAAATCATGAATTTGTTGCTTGTGTGAGTCCATTTCAAATAGGTAAAGAAATAATAAATAAAACTTACTCACAATCAATTTCACAATCAAATTGATTGTGAGTAAGTCTTATTTATTATTTCTTTACCTAAGTATATACCACTTCAGCATCTCTAGATACTGGGAATGGATATATCACGCGTCCGTAGTTTTGTTATTCTACTTTTCTGTTACGCGAATATACTTTAGAACAAACCATATTCGCTCCGTGCGTGACCATGGTAGGGGTACATTGAAACGATGCCAGCGTGCGTAGCGACGAAATATGACAAAATTGGAATATTGGACAAAATATTTTTACGCATAAATTTTATCAAAAATGTGTGCAAATACATGTTGCGTATTTAATTGTGCTAATAATAGCAAAAACAATGAGTGTAGTTTTTATAGGTTCCCAAAGATTACATATAAATTAGAGAAAAGAAAAAGAAGAATTCGTGCTATTAATATGAAAAAGTAAATATCACATAATTTCATTTTTATGCAATTGAAATAGGAAAAATTTCAATAATTTACCTTGAATGATATTTCATAAGGCTTCAAGCTAACTGCAGATGACTTTAGCTTTTATACCATAACTTTTACTATTATTGTTTTTAATTATATGCTCTTTTGCGTGAAAAACTTGATTTGCCAGTACTAGATTTTTCCCTTTCTTTTCCGTTTGGAGTTGAAAAGATATATTATGATGAATTTTGAGAAACCCAGTTTTTAATACTGCATTTATTTTATACATAAACTGAAAAAATATAGTTAAAAAACTAATTTATTAATAATTGTCAATTTCGCATGTATTTAACAATGTCAAATATATGTCATATGTTTAACCTGAAAATTGGGACTCCAAAATTGTCAGATGCATGCGTTAGGTGTCGCGTCAGTCACGCACGGAGCGAATAAACACTTCCAACTCACAGTCATGCATCAAACATGCACAGAAAGAAAAAGATAAAATGTTGCACGTAGACACGCGTATTGATGTTCTTATCGAGCATATTATTTATTACTCCAGGAGAAGACAGTAGTGATGGTGAATTAACATCTGGAAGTGGATCAGCATAAACAGATTTATTTTAAATAATAACTAATATATCTAATGAATTTGTTTTTTGTTGCTGTTGTTGTTTTACCATTCGGAAAGTACCTGTCCGATCCTTCGTCCTACGAGGTTATAATTTTGTAAGTACTTACCTAATAACTTTATTATTATGTCAAGTTTGTTTCTCAAAATTAAGGTTAACATTAGGCTGCCGGGTCTATTATTATTTTCTGTAAAGCAGTTGGTATTTATATTTGAATATAAATTTTATTTTAAAAATATCAATAAGTACATAAGATCATTATTCCAATATCAGTACGTTTAAAGAAATCTAATGTAAAAGGTTTTTTTCGAATTAGTCCTCACAATGCTTTCCCTTATAAAAATGTACACGCCACCATTGAACTACACTCGTCTCTCGTTTTGTGCCCCTCCAGCCTCTATCATTTTAAAAATATAATATCCTGACAATCCTATTGAATTTGGACTATAGTGCGTTTGACTTTTGCAATGATGGTAAACAAATCGTAATCGTTGGAAATTTGTGGAATCGATTGATTAAACGTTTTTCGTAAAGAATGTTTTGAGTGTTTTTGTGGTTGTCTGTTAATTTTTAACATGAACTAATTCTAAAGCACGAAGTTCGCCTGGTCAGCTATTAAATTATAAAAATAAAAAAATAATACTTAGTAAAACATTTTTATTTTTAAAATCTAGTATATATTTTATTTTTACAAGTACATGTTGCCAAACAACTATTTCTTCTTTCTATTCCCTCTCGAGTTGTATGGCTATTACACAACCATGTTGGAAATGTCTTATAGAGTTGCTTACAATTTGAATACTGATCTGCAGCATAACAAGCGTTAGTACAAAGTTTCTTATGGCAGTTTTTCTTGCACAAGCCGCAGGATTTTCCTCTTACATAAGGCCTTCCGAGGCGACCTGGATGATTTCCACTAAAAGAACAAAATATTTCATGAAGAATATATTTGACCCTTATGATTTGATTAACTTCATGTTATTTGCAAAGCATAAAAAACAATAACGATATTTGAAGTTTATTAAGAGCTTCTATCAAATGTTAAAAAATGATTACTGCCTTACAACGATTAATGGGTAATAATTCAAGCTAGGTATTAAGATTCTCATCGATCCTGCTGCTCGGGTATTTTAACTTGGAAAGTTTATTATTTCTGTTTTGTATAGGTACATTTGTTATGGCGAGCACGCCACTGCATGTGTGTGTGTTTCATCTCAATATTCAAGACCCTTTGGAAGATGATAAACACCCATGCCGAGAATCTCTAAGTGTTTACGTATTATCAAGAACTATGAGAGGTTTTTTGTAGATATAGTGTGTATTTCTTAAGTTAGTATAATTCTGTAACCTAAACTGTAAACATCTGAATAAATTGGTGCATTTCCTTCAGAGTTTTTCGTTACTTAATTCTCCATCGAACACATATCATTTTATAAAGAATAAAAGTGGCGCAGTCAGTAGGATTTCCAATTAGAAGAAGTAAAGCCTTTTTTTAATCGATTTTAATCGTTAATTGGAAAATTGGAGAATTAGTGACTTATTATTTGAGTTCCGAGTGTAAGGCCACGAGGAAGGAAAACTGAAGGAACCCGTAAGCAACTTAGAAGAATTCCAAGTGTAAGGCCACTTGTTGTGTAAAGCCACAAAGTAATTCGGAAGTTCTGGGGAGGCGCAACTAGCAACTTCGTGAAATCTTCTCAACCAGCTTCAGTGAAAAGCCACTCGACCCTGGAAACGGTGAAGCATTTCCACAGAAGAAGCAACAACATCTCTACAGTTTAGAATTTCAACCAGTTCCAGTGAAAACCCAGTTGATCCAGAAGATACAACGTTCTCCACCCGTTCTCTACCCGTTCCAGTGTAAATCCACTTGATCTGAGACGTTTGCTGCAACATTTTCGACACGTTCTCACGGAAGTACTTGAGGTTAGTCGAATTATATTCATTTTTTATTTGTTTTCATTTTTTTATTTACTCTGTTTCGCAATTTTCAAACTTTTAAGCTATCATATCTAGTATTTGCATTTTTTTATTTGTTTAATTTATTTTTGTTAATACAATGGCAACTAACGACGTAACAGCAACTACGCCAATAATTTCCGCTACCACCTCTAATAATTATATTAATTGTGACAAAGCTATCAAGCTTATAAATGTTTTTGATGGGTCTTCTTCAAAATTACATTATTTTATAGATTCTGTTGATTTTATTTTTGCAAAATTTGACCCAGCGGAATTGCAAATTTTTCCTTTTATTGTAAAAAGCAGGTTAGAGGGAAAAGCTCTTGATTTCATTGGCTCGAAAGAATTTTCGACATGGCACGAAATAAAAAATGCTCTCCTTTCTCAGTTTGGTGAAAATTTGGATTTGCAGTGTCTTAATTTTGAGTTATGTCACTTTAAGCAAAGTTCTAATGAAAAACCTACAAATTTTGTTGATATAATTGAAAAACAATTAATTAGAATCAATAAAGTTATCAAATACGATTCAAATTTGAACGATGTTGAGAAAAAATGTTTAAATAATTTTCACAGTAAGACTACAATTCTGACCGCTATTACGGGCATAAAAGAACCTTTGTGTCAAATGCTTCGCTCTTTAAATCCTAGTTCGTTAATTCAAATTAAGCAAATTTTAAACGATTATGAAAACCAACAATATTTCAAACAAACAAATGACAAGTTTTCTAAATTAAATATAAATGATGACAATAAAATTTCGTCAAGTACTGCAGGTACTCAAAAAACATTTTCTGATCCCGGTTCAACAAATCAATCGATAAATCCACCGATTAAATTAACTATTCCAAAGTGCACTGTTTGCCATAAATATGGACATAAAGCAGAAAAATGTTATCGTAAATCACAATCTCACAATGTTGTTCATAATACCTATTGCGACAATGATAGTTCAGAAAAAGAAATAGAAATCGAAGTTGATCATGATTTTTTTAGAGCAAGTGCCGCTGACAACGTTACAGTTTACCAAGTAGCAAATAAACCGCTTCTTTACGCACATATTAAAAATTTGAATATAAAATTATTAATTGATTCAGGAGCAGCTATATCAATATTGAAACCTGGTAAAATTTTAGATTCTTATCACTTTAATCATGAAGATTTTAAAATATTTGGTATTAATAACGAACCAATTCAAGTTACAAAGAGCGTAAATTTTAAGTTATTTTCGAGTGTTCAGAAATTCTATATAGTAGACATAAATTCTCCTTTTGATGGAATACTTGGTTATGATTTTTTAGAAAAGAATAAATGTGTTATTGACTTTGGTTTAAATACTTTATTTGCTAATTATGAGGAAATCCCTTTGTTTTCATCTGATCGGGAACATAATATATTAAGTCTAAATAATATACACGAACATCAAGTTAGAAGTAATAATGTTATCGACTTAAGTGAAAAAATCGATACTACTGTAAGTAAACAAAAATTAGACGCTCTGCCAAGAATTCGATTAAACCATGTCTATCAAAAACAAAATGAATATACGGAATTTGAGAATATTAAAACTAACGTAAATTTAAATAACTTTACCTACTCTAATGAGCAAATCTTAGACGTTAACAATAAGACTATTTTATATTTATACGATGAGAATGACAGAAATGTAAATCATTTCGAAATAATCAATGATAATTTTCCCACTGTTGGTGAGTCGGATTTTGAAAAAATATTAAAGTTATATAACGAAAATCGTAGTAGAGAGATTACTATAGTTAAAATTAAGCCACACCATTGCCTTGAGAATTTTAATACTTTGAAAAAACTAGTATTAGTTAGAAATAAAACTTATTGCATACCTTATTTTGAAAGTAATATTTATTATAAAATGCTCAGTTTCCTTTACCCAGACGTGAACTTTATAATTTGTAAAAATATCGTTACTATGCCGCCTGTAGAAGAAAGGCAAAGGATAATTTTCGAATATCATAACGACCCGGGTAATTATCACAAAGGAATTAATGAAACTGCAGACAAAATTCGACAACTTTATAAATGGAAAAATATGTATCGAGAAATAACCGAGTTTATTACTTTATGCCCTACTTGTCAACTCTCAAAATTTGATCGTAGGAATCGTACTTAAGGTTTAAATGTAAGGCATTCTCCGGAGAAACCATTTGAGGCTTTATCTGTAGACCTGTTCTTTTTTGATAAACAAAAAATGCTCACCGTTATAGATAATCTAACAAAATCTGCACAAGCGTATATTTTAACTGATAAAAACCCAGAAACGATAATTAGTAAATTAAAAAATTATTTTTCGCTTTTCGGCCTTCCTAAGATGATTATGTCAGATCACGGGGGTGAATTTAATCATAAAAAGGTGCAAAGTTTTATTAATTCATTGAATATCGAATGGCACCTTACTTCGTCTGAGTACCATGCCTCTAACGGTATAATTGAGCGCTTCCATGCTAACATAACAGATACTTTGCGAAGTTATCTTTTAGAACATAACCAGTGCGACTTAGAAGATGCACTTTTAGTAGCTATACACTCATATAATTCTAGTAAATATCATTCAACATCCACTACACCCTATAGTTTAGTATTTCCATATAAAAATGATAGAGAATTTGAAATTTCGTATAATAATCAGTTAGAAAATATAAGGGAAAAACAATGCGATCAAAGGAAAAAGCAAAAGAAACGCTTTGATAACTTAAGAACGAGCAACTTGGAAGTAAAGTATAAAGTTGGAGATAAAATTCTCTTAAAAAGACCAAGAAATCCAAATACACCAAAATCGGTATTAAATACAGGACCATATGTTGTTCTTGAAGTCAATGAAACCAATAAAACTCTAAAAATTAAGTTAGATAACAAGGTTATTCGAAAATTTCATTTTAATAATGTAAAACCATTTTATGATGCTATTAACTAAACGAAGTTGAAGTGTAACACGGCAAGTAGTAGATATGACCTTTCATTATCCATATTATAAAGGGATTTTAATCAATAATAACTGCAACATATAATTCGATTACCTTGTGGTACACTTCATCTACGGCCTTCTCATAACAACAACAGTAGAATGAGTTATTGCCGGTTGGTTTTTTTGTTCCATGTGGCCCTACCTGCCCTGTGTGGAGTATATCTAGAGAGGCGCCAAAACTTCGAAGCTGTAAAAGAAGCCCTTCTTGAACACCCCAGCTTCGGTCTTCAGGAGGGAGGTGTTATGGCGAGCACGCCACTGCATGTGTGTGTGTTTCATCTCAATATTCAAGACGCTTTGGAAGATGATAAACACCCATGCCGAGAATCTCTAAGTGTTTACGTATTATCAAGAACTATGAGAGGTTTTTTGTAGATATAGTGTGTATTTCTTAAGTTAGTATAATTCTGTAACCTAAACTGTAAACATCTGAATAAATTGGTGCATTTCCTTTAGAGTTTTTCGTTACTTAATTCTCCATCGAACACATATCATTTTATAAAGAATAAAAGTCATTTACATGTACCTATTGATTTGGATTTCGATTTACTGCCCCATTATCTTGGGCTTCCGGTGTTAATTTTTAAGCCCAATAGATCTCCTTCAGCTGATATTTTGTTAAGTTTATATTGCAAGTGCTTTGAACTCCCTACAATTATTACTGTATCATAGGCATATCTTAAATTATATCTTATATTATTCACATTTATGCCATCTTCTGCGCCTTCGAGTATATGTTAAAAGGCATGGGACTCAGTACACAACCTTGTCTAACTCTACGTTAATTGGTACAACTTTTTTTGACTATTTTCGATCTGTACTGTCGCTATTGGATGTTTGACAAAGTCAAATGGTTTAGTATAATCTATGAAAAATAGATAAACTTCTTTTTGTTGGTTCCTGCATTTCTCTTCCTTCCAATCCTTCAAATCCTGCAAATCCTTCTCGAAAACCCATCTGCAGTTCACCCAGATTTTGCTCGTACTGGTCTGATTTTTGATATTAAAGGAGTATTAATCTCTTCAAAAAGATTCGTATTTTTATTTTCGTTATCTAATATTTTTGAATATGTTTGTGATTTACGGTTTCCTGTGATTTCCTCGACACTTTTGTGCACACTAACTAAATTTAATTACATTTAGCACATTTACTCTATTTCTTTGCTTCCCTCCATAATCCATGCTTCTTTAGCATTTTCAACCTACCTTGTTTATTGTAGTAGTTTTTTATCTCTTAGTTAAGTCTGTGTTTCTGTAAAAATTGATAGTAAACTCTAAACATACCATGAAATTCATCAACAAGCTCTGTATAGACAGCTAAATATAAGGAAATATTGTAGTTAAGATATTTATACTTACATGGGACAATAATTGCACACATAATTATAAAATGTAGTTGTTTTGAAAGCAATAGAATTGGACTGAACCGTACATTTGGCAATACCACAACCAACTTGATGAGTGGCAGCCCAGACCATTTGTGTATAGTGACCAATAATAGTTAAATTGTTTCGCCTGCCAAATTTAAATAGATCTTTTTCCAACCACCACGTTTGAACAGCAAAGAACCTAGAAATTTGAAAGAAATTGAGTTAGTACTTTAAAAAGTCTCATTCCTAAACATATTTTATCCACCAAATATAATTATTATATCGTACGTGAGAAATCTGTTAACACCCGAGTCAATACAATCTATAACGAAGTAGAAAACGCTTATAGTTATAAAACAACTAAAATGCGGGAAAGCTCCAGGTCCCGCTGAGATTCACGCAGAACTGCTAAAGCTGCTTGACGGGAAAAGAATCAAAAATATTAGCCATATTTTCAATAATATAGTAGTTAAGGGTAACAAGAGAACGGCATATTTTCACATGTAAAATCTCATATGAAAATGCAAAGAATCATTGTTTATTCGTTCAGAAAATTCCCAACTATCAATAAAAGCACGTGTTGATATTCGCCTTCTCATTCGTCAAGAGGCTATTAAATATAATTTATTGCCATAAGCCAGACAGATTCTCATGTTACAGATCCAAACTTGCGAGTCTGTTTAAATTCAAATTGTATCGTGTTGATTTTTAAGTTAATATATTGTGCGTTATATTTATGTTACAGTTATTGTTAAGTTATTTACTGGTCGTGTTATTTTTAAGAGGTTAGTTTAATTGTGATTTAATGATTAAATATCAAGAAATTCTTACACTAATAGTTTCAAAAGTAAATATTTTTAAGAATCATATGATACACATCAGTACGACCCTGTTTGGCTTTCACGTGCGTATGTTGACAATTGGGAATATGTAAAATGAATGTAGCTTAGTAATTTTTGAGTACTTTTTTCTGTGCTGAGTACAACGACTTGTATCTGATCGTGACGAATGAAAAGAGATGGTTGGAAAGAAGGTAGCTCATAAACTAGAACAGGTCTTCTTCGTTACGTGTTATCTGTCACCACGCGTTATATGACCCAGATATTGTAGTTTTCTTATTTTGATGGAATCTAGTATCTCCCTGCTCTTCTCTATTCTTCTTAGTACTTCTTCATTGGTTATTCTGTCTGTCCAGAAGATTCTCAGCATTCTTCGATATGTCCGCATACATTTCAAATGCTTCCAATTTATTGAGACATTGTTTATTTAAAGTCCATGTCGCCACACCATACAAAAGAACAGAAAATACATAACACTTTAGTATTCGTTTTCTAAGATTTAGGCTGAGGTCTCTACAACATAATACTTGTTTCATATTATTAAATGTCAGGTCTAGACTTATTGAAAATCAGTTCTAGAGCTCATCAAAGCTGACCATAATTGTCAATCTACAGCCATTTGTCCAGCCTTTTAAATACAAAGTAGAAAACTGGATCTCCTTCCTGACCAAATCTATAATGCCGATGAAAGTGGTCTGTTTTAAAGAACTGTTGCCCAACAAAACTTCATCATCATCATTCTGGCTTTACAACCCTGCGTGGGTCCTAGCCTCCTTAAGAATTTCTCTTCAGTCATCCCTATCCGTCACCTTTCTCCGCCAAGCTCGTATTCCCACATTTCTTATGTCTTCATCGATGTTATCAAGAAACCTTGTTCTGGGTTTTCCTCTTCTCTGAGCAATGGGTCTATCAAGGAGCGTTTTTCTAGCTGGGTCATTTTATTCCATCCGCATTACTTGCCCTATCCACCTTAGATGTCCTATTTTAATATCTTTTATATCATACGTTTTATTTTTGTATTCATCGATATAATTGTGGGTGTAGGGAGAAGATTGAGCCCAAAATAGCATCTGTTGCCCGTGAAAATTTTGCGTTTTATCTTTGCGGTAGTATTATTTTCAGTGATCACGTTGCTTTTTATAACAAGTAGTTGTAGGATTTGTGGTTGCTTGCTTATTTTCGTATATTTCGTTTTGTTGGTGTTTATTATTAAACCTATTTTTGTAACTGATTCAACATTGTAACAACAATATTGATAATATCTTCATAGACCAGGATTTGCACTGATTTATTATATATTGAACCAGTGATTGTGATTTGTGACATACGTATTACTTTTTCCAGAGCCAGAATGAACAGTATTCAGGAGAAAGGGTCTCCCTGGCGCAGCCCGTTAATTGCTTTAAAAGTTCAGACAGTTCTGAAGACCTGAATTCGTACACTACATTCAACTTTTTCAATTATAATTTGGTATTCCTAGCTCTTTCATTGCTTTAAACATTTCTCTTTTATTCACAGAGTCGTAGGCTGCTTTGTAGTCTATAAATATGTATAAGTATTCCAATGTTCCAATCATTGGGGAGGGATTTCTGTGTCTATATTTCTTTTATAAGCTGCTGTAATACTGTCATGATATTTTGGCCAACATCTTTATATGGTTCATCTGGACGATTATTTATTCCGGGTGATAGTTTTTGAATAGTTTTTAACTACATTTTTAAATTAAAGGATCGTTGGTGGTTCTAAAACAACTTCTTATTCTCTAAAAAAGCGAGCGCACCAGATCTTAAAGTGAGTAAAGATAGAATCACATTTATGCTATGTTCAAATGCTACTGGAAGACACAAATTTGATTTCTTAGTGATTGGTAAAGTAAACATCTAGAGCTTTCAAAAACATTTATCTGCCGGTCTCCTACAAGAACTAATTTAAAAATTGAGTCACGAGGAAGATATTTAGTAAATGGTTCTTTAGTAAATAAATACGTTTTCCCAGAGGTGAACAAAAAATTTATGAAAAGATCAAACTTGCCCATAAAAGTCACGAAAATTGGAGTACTTGGGACATATTACGCGAAACATCGAACGCTATAGACTGCTACAGCTGATCTTGCAAAGAAAGATAATGGGAAAAAGAAATCCTGCATGCAGACGGAGCTCCTGGTTTCAACATTTACGCGCGTGGAAAACTATTGGACTGTTTCGAGCAGCAGTGGACAAGGAAAGAAAAAAGAAGAAGACCTAAGTAATCAGAATTCTGTCTAGCTTAGAATTCACGAACAAACAAACATGTTCACGACCATGTTTTAAATAAGTTTTACTATACTAATATACAAGAAATTTTATAAATACATTTTTAAAAACATCTGATGGTTTATAAATTACAACTTCCATTTTCCTGTTGGTAAAACTTCAAAATGGTTCAAATACTTAATATAGTTCTTAAACCTTCAATTTAGAGAAGGAAGACCTGAACATCATCGGAGTATATGGCTCAGAAAATAACAAACCTCAAACAACAAGGGAACCGTTGTATGACCAATTACCACAAGTAGTAGATCAAGTCAGAGGGAAGATGATAATATTGGGGGATTTTAACGCTCGAATGGGCAATCAAGTATTACCCGGAATTAAGCAAAAAAACCTTCAATTTGATTAAAAGGTTTTCATCATGATTATTTAAACAAATAATGTTGATTTTTAATAACCCTCTCTGTACCATCCGTTCACTGTGTCGGAAAACTACTACTACTTTTATATACCTGAAATCTAGAAGGCATTTCCATTATGGATTTAGTCCACCTAGCGTTGAAAAAACTAAGTTTTTTTTTCAGTTTCTACCCTATATACAAACTCGACTAAACACTCGACAATACATATTTTTTAAATTATTAACAATATTGTTAATTTTTAAAGAGACAGGTTTATTTTTTTCAGTAGTGCAACTGTATGAACTGCAAATGCACAAGAAATTAATTTAATTTTTTTGTCTGCTGTTAGGAATGATATTTGTATTTAAAAATGGTTTGAGCACAAACTTAATTGCCGTATGGTTGCTAAATCATGCTACCTTACCATGGAACTTTATGGGTAGCAACAAATATGTTCTGTCCACATGCTCCATAATTTTGTACATGCCTTCCTGGTATGGAATCGTGTGTCAAGAATTTACAAGCATCAGCCCATCTTTGGGCGGCTCTAGCTGCTTGATGGTTGTATTTCTAAAAAGGAAAAATGTACATAACTGATTTCATGCGAAGGAGTTTGTATTTAACTCACTTTTTTTTAGTTCATAGTATATTTTACTTATATTTACCATTCTAAGCATGTTTGCCGCAGGCGGTTGAACACGAGACCTAAAGAAGTTGTGGTACAATACTATTTTCTTTTGTAAATTGACCCTTCGAGGGTCGAGCATTCTGAGGGGAATTAGATCTCCCATTACTTTTGGTTCTAAAAATATTTAATATATTTTATTTGTACTACTAAACGCAATCTACAAAAACTTTTTTAATATACTATTGTATAGTATAGTAAAATGGTTTATTGAAAGTATCCCTTCTACATGTGCCTGTACAATGGCAAAATGTAAGTGAGTGTCTAAAGTAAAATTGTGCGTGAGTAAAATTAGGAGAACACATTGATAATAGGTTACCAGTCAAAAAGTGGCCGCAAATATGTTTAATTCAATTAATAGTAATTCATTTTTAAGAACATTTTTATTTCCTTCATTTATTTTTAAATAAAATACACTGCTCATGACATTGATGCATGTTTTTTTATATTAAATTAAATTAAATTAAATATTTTTCTTAATATGCTGACATGTTTGCCTGAGACAAAAATGGTCGAAAATTAGGATTGCCAGCTGTTAAAAACGCGAAAAATTAAAGATAAAATAAAAAGGACAGCTAGCGCACAGCGCTACTGGTTTGAATTGCCAGTTGTGTGAGTTTCCCCCCACTCTTTTTGTTCCCGTGTAGAAACAAACTGTATCTTTCTCGTATTGCTTTTGTCTTATTTTCTTTCCGTTCTCGTCACTTCTTATCCCACTCTTTATATTATCGTTACCGTTCTTATCTAATGTTGTATCCATTCTGGTATTTACTAGGTTTCCCTGTTCCTTCAAAAAAAGGGTGGTGCCCAAAAGTTTCTTCTCTAGGTGTATTTACCTCACTCGCGAATCTCTTGTAGTCTAGCTCTGTTGAACCCCGATAAAGACACATCTACCAGTCTGAAGCCCATACTGTAGTGCTCTTCTTTGTGCAACCGTGTTGCCAATGATTAGAGCATTTTCCATCTTGCATTAAGCGCACTTTTCTACAGCTCAACAGTGGCATTTATTACGCTACACTTTTAATCAATGTGAATCTTGTATTACAACGTTTTAATCAATTTGTTTCCTACATTTTTATACTCGCGAAGTTGGTGAATTTTGTGTACATCATGATTTTTATATGAATTTTTAATAGCTACCAAATAGCAGCCCCTTTAATTTTGATTGAACAAATCATAAGTTATTAAAAATGTATTGCACTTTTTTAGATCTTCTGAATACCTAGTTATAATTATTGAGTCTGGCCCTGATCCCACCGTCATATTGGTATTATCGATAACTACACCTACTGACGCCATTTTTAATATACAGGTTAATATGCTCACAGCTTCTCCATTGATTCAAGTTTCTTTGATACCTCGCGTTTTTAACTGCTGGCAACCTTAATTTTCGAAATGAACTGAATCGAAACGAAAGATAACCTTATATCGTCGGTGCAATATCACACCCACGAATGTGCAAAATTTTAGTTTTTCACCTAAGTCCATCATTAATAATGTCTTAGTCATTACTATACTTTGCCACGACCACGAATGTGATTAAAAGCTGGGAGATGGTGGGAAGGAGATATATGCACTTTCACGAAAGTCAGTCCGTACTGTTCATTTGCAATGCGTGCATCGCCACACAAATTTTAAGTGTACTGAAAAACTAGAGAAGTTACTTTCAAACAGGGAAAAAGAATAGCAAGATATAAAAGTAGAATGGTTTAAAATGCAGTGGCATGCAGTTCAAAGCAAAAGAGCCATTAAAAATTTAGTTTAAATATTCTAATAACGAGAGTTTATTATTTAATTGTGTTGACATCTAGAAAAAAAAACGTCTTTCAGATAAAAAGAGAAGACTTCTACTTGGATTTACTCTATCCTGCTGGAAGACCCATAGAACAACTAAAATATAAAGACGGTCAGTCTTCTTCCTTACATTCCGCCGATCTATCATGAATTCTACACAAACCTGAAGCCAAACGTGGAGGCAATAGATAATGATATTGGATCGGAAACAGATGAATAGGTGACCCAAGTAAAAGTTTTACATTTTTTCATACAAGTTCAATATTTGACATAGTGGCCCAACTGCCTTTTTGCATAGGAAAATATTTTTTGTTAATCTTTTGCTCATTCAACTTCAATAATGTATAAGATTCCAGGAATGTTTGTGTAAGTGAATGGAATAATACTTGTTAATAAAAAAAAAACTGGTTTTATTTTTAGTTCAATTTTTTAGTTGCCCATATCTCAAAACATCAATTTTACACTTAGGTAGACCATTGTGCTTCTGAGCGACTCATATATGAATAAGATAATTTGAATAATCTGATAAAATTAATACTTACTTCGATTTGGATTGTAATTACCGAATTCTGTAGTAGTCTGAATTGCTATGATAATAATTATTAAACTTAACATCATTGTTGTCTTCATTTTTACCCTGTAAAATAAAGAAATATTAAAACAACAAGAGAAATAATACGATTTCCTACCTGGCGAAACTGAATTCAAATCTTTACCACTGTGCTTTCTCCAACTTGTAAAGCAAACAGATTAATGAATTAGTCGGCAAGGGAATCTAATATATGCATTCCACATGTCGTTCATCATGGCCAAAATTCGTAGTGAATTCAGTTTCTGGTACTTCTTCTTCTTAACATGCCATACACCAAAGTGCGTAGGCGACTATCTCATTACTAGAATTCTGTTCTTGGCGGCGTGACACAGCTCACCTGTATTGTGTATTCCTGTCCATTCTTTAATATTCCTTAACCAGGACAATTGTTTGCGGCCGGCTCCTCTCCTACCTTCGATCTTCCCTTGTAGGATTAACTGTGGTATTTCATATTTTGCTCCTCTCAATATGTGCCCAAGGTAACCAATCTTGCGTTTTTTAATTAATTCAAAGAGTTCTCTTTCCACGCCGGCTCTATTAAGGACGTCATCGTTTCGAACTCTATCCACCCAAGGTATGCGCATCATTCTTCTCAATGACCACATTTCAAATGCTTCAAGTTTGTTGATAGATGTTTTTTTCAAAGTCCACGTTTCCATGCCATAAAGCAAGATGGACCATATGTAGCACTTGACCATTCTGTAGCGTATTTCGAAGTTTAGGTGTTGATTTAAAGGTATTTAGGTATTTAAAGGTATTTAAAAGTTTTCACGCGATTTATACGATTGTCACTTATGCATAATATCGGGTTTTCTGGAGGGTTTCTGCTAATGACCATATATTTCGTTTTCAAAATGTTGATTTTAAGGCCATATTTTTTACCTATGCTATTCACCCTATCAAGTAATAACTGCTGATCTTCCAAATTATCAGTTATAATCACTGTGTTGTCCGCATAGCGTAGGTTGCTAATTGGTATGCCGTTCACCTTAATGCCTAATTCCGTATCTTCTAATGCTTCCGCAAATATATTTTCAACATATAAATTAAAAAGCATCGGAGAGAGTATGCAGCCTTGGCGGACACCTTTCCGGATTTCAAATTCATCCGTATATTGGTCTTGATCAATCCTCACCTTTGCCATTTGATTCCAGTATAGATTCTGAATAATTCTGATCTCCTTCTGGTCAATGTTGGCCCTATGTAGTAGTTCCATCATGATATCATGTTTAACATTGTCAAATGCCTTCTCGTAGTCGATGAAGGTGAGGTAGACATATTTTCGTTGATCTAAGCAGTTTTGTATTATATATTACATTATACGTATCATACATCATACGTATTATATATTATATCATAAAGAAATGACTATATTAGATTTTTACAATGGGATAGATTTTGTTTCGATTCCGAGCAGTAGCATTTGCCGCTCTGATGAGACCTAAAGGAGTTGAAATACGCATAAGTGGCTTGCCACTACCCTGCATCGAAATAAAAATCTAATACCAATGGAGATATCAGTATACAAGAAATCCTGTGTTATTCAAAGGAAATGTATGCATTTATAGAACAATGTTTGAGAAAAATAGGGCAAATTGCCCAAAAATGGTGTGAGTGGCGAACTTTATAGGTTGTAGCCTATAAAATATGCGAAATATAATATATGATGCGAAAAAAATAGTTAATATGCGAAAAATATGCGAAAAATACCAATTTTACCCTCGGGCTTTCTCCTAAAACCACCCTCGTAGAGAATAATATATACACCGTAGAAAAAAATGTTTTAAATAAACAATGTCGGACATCAAAAAAAGGACATCGTGGTTGCAGAACATCAGACAGTGGGAAGGAATGACTACCATACATCTATTTAGAGCAGCTGTCAACAAAGTTGTATGGACCAAAGTAATTGCCAACATTCACAGAGGATAGGCACCAAAAGAAAAAGCTAAGATAATTTTGAACACAAATGTTTGTTAGCATGTCTTATGTAGTAATAAGTTGGAGGCCTTCGACATGTGGACGTTGCGAATAATGTTCCGCATACCATGGACAGATAGGGTGAGAAACGAGGAAGTTTTAAGAAAGACAAATACTGGGAGAGAACTACTCAATTTGATCAATTTACGAAAAATTGGATACCTCGGCTATATTCTGAGAGGAAGCAATCCCTCAACTAATCATCTAGAGACAGATTGAAGGCAAGGGAGGAGTAAGTCGCAAACAAATGTCATAACTACGAAATATAAAGAACTGGACAGGCATAAATAACACTGGCGATCTTTTGCATGCCGCAAAAGACAGACGTCTGGCCTTAAGATAATTCGCCAACGCACTATAGGTACACGGCACTATAAGAAGAAGAAGAATGTAGAATCAACCGTTCTCTCATAAACAATGCAATCGAATGGCAACTTTTAATGTCAGTGATCGGCAATTTTGAATGTCAGTGGCGCGTGCGAAATCAATGTTCTTGATACGAGTATCCTATCGAGAAAAATCAAGATGTGTTTTAAATGTAAAGAGTGCAGCTTCTGTAAGCAGTTTTTGTATAGTGCCGAAAATAAACTGAGTTTTTATAAAGGCATTAAATAAATAAACGTGGCGCAATTTTTGCCAATTTTTATGATTCTCGTGAAATCAATACAATATATCCCTTTTATTAACAAACTACTATGCAGTTTCGATAACTAGAGCCTAATCTTTAACACCTATAACACGAAATTTTAGTTTTGAGTTTTCTCAACAAATGTCTAAGTGCCTTCTCTATTGAGGTTGGCGATCAATATGGCAAATTTCTCTCTGTTTTGGGCTTGATGGATTAAGTCATTTCCTGTTGTGTGAGTCCAATCTCTGATGTTTCGGAGCCAGGATTTCTTCTTTCTTCCTATACCCATTTTACCCTCGATTTTGCCTTCTAATATTACCTGGAGCTGCTCAAATTCCTTATGGCGCATTATGTGTTCTAGATATGACGTCTTTCTAATTTTGATTGTATTAACCAGATGAGGTCGTGTGTTCATTATTTCCAGTACCTCTTCATTTGTAGTTTTGCTGGTCCAGCTTATTCTTAGCATTCGGCGGTACATCCATATTTCGAATGAATTCAGTTTGTTGACGTCATACTGTTTTAATGTCCAGGTCTCACAGCCATATAGTAGTAGAGACCACACATAACACTTTAGTGTTCTCAACCTTATTGTGATTGATAGCTTGGGGTTACACAGCATTTTACGCATGTTCATGAAGCCAGATCTTGATATTTCAATACGTCTTCTAATTTCTTTTGAGTGGTCTAGCTGACTGTTTAGATCTCTGCCCAGGTATATGAAGCTTTGGGAGCTCTGAAGGGTGATACCATTGATTTGTATGTTGGGTGTAATTTGTTCATGGGAGTTCTTGTGGAATACCATGATTTTGGTTTTGGAAAGATTAATATCCAAAACTAGTCTGTGACTTTCTTCTGATAGTATGTTCATCAATATTTTTAGTTGGTCTTCTGTTTCTGCTAATACTACGGTGTCATCGGCATATCTTACATTATTAATGATGATTCCATTGACTGGCACCTTCAGGGCGTTCTTCAAGAGAAGCTCTGATGATATTTTCGGCATAGACATTAAATAGAAGAGGGGACAGGGAAGACATCTTGTGTGGTTCCAGTATGTATTGCTTATTATAGCTATGTCGTGTCCGTCCAGCCCTACTTCTTTTAGCACCACAATCAATTTTTCGTGTCTAATGCGGTCTATCGGTAAGGCCTTTCTATAATCGACAAAGCACACATACAGCTGTTTTTAAACCTTTTCTAACCCTACGAGATACCTTTCTGCCATTAGTGTCAATCCCATTATTGCTTCTCTGGTGCCTGTACCTTTCCTAAAACCATATTGAGAACGACTCAGGTAATCTTCACATTTATTGTGAATGCGGTTATAAATTACTCGCATAAAAATCTTAGCAGCATGACTCATTAGTGTGTGGACAACAAATGTGAGGCATTTGAAATATGCTTTTGAAAATTTGAAATTTGAAAAAAAGCTGAATTTAAACTACAAACGATTTAAAACATTTAAAACTGCTCTTTTTAATTATACTCAAAACCATCTTCCTGGATGCATTTTCCGTGATGTACAAGCGTTTGTAATGTAAAAGTTTAAATTGTGCGTTTTTTAGTCATTTCTCAAATGCCTCATATTTATTACCACAACTCCCAATTCAAATTTCATGCTATAGATGTTGAAGATTGATCTATAAGAATCAAAATTTCACTGTGACCAGTTAATTAAAATGATAAGTTTAATTGATTTGTAAAGACGAGAATTCGCGCAAAAATCGCGCGTAAAAATCAACGTTTATTTATTGATCTGATTTATAGAAACTCACTTCATTTTCGGCAACACGAAACATTGCGAAAGAAAGCTGCACTGCTGATCAAAAGATATCTGATATGAAAGCTAATCGAAAGATATCGAATTTTTACCGTCAACTTAATACATATTTTATTTAACATTGATTTCGCGCAAGCAAACGAACATTCAAAATTGCCGGTCGCTTTATGCGTTGTTTCTGAGAAAACAGTTTATTCTACAGACAAAGTGCTAATTAAGTTTTATTTAAAATTATATCAGCTACATTTTTAATTTGAAATATTTTTTATACGGCGTATAGGTTCTTAATAAATCGATTTTTTTGAGTTTTTACCCCACTACGAGCGGAGTTTTAGGAGGAAGCCCAAGGGTAAAAGTGGTAAAACTTTTTGGATCATTTTTAGGGTCTCAAAAATAAGGGTCAAATCTCTGACGATTGGACTATTAGTCAATTATCAATTTTTTAAAAGGCATAACCTTATCAACAATTTTGCGGTTATAAACTCTTTTTAATAAAATCCTTAAATAATCTTTTTTAAAAACGATTTCCGAAGTAGAAATCAAAACGTCAAATATAAACACAATATAACTGCGACATGCCACAAGACATGTTTCAGAACAAACAGTTTCTCTAACACCATCCTGGATGATTTTTTTTTGACGAAGATTATGCAC